GTTATTAGCATATTATATTTCAATGAATAATTCCAGACCGACTCATGAACAGTTGAGAACAACTTGTTCGGAATATAAAAAACAAAACAAAATATATATTTTATTGCTCTTCTTTCATAATGTAAAATATCTTGTGTCGTTTACAATTATTTAATACAAACTCGCTTAGTAATTGAATACATTCTGCTTTTGTTACAGACGCCCTGTGTGAATAACATAGTGCTTGTATAGTTTCAATCAATGCATGGACGAAAAGTATAGTTCGAATATTAAATATACGGAAACTTTTATCATACTTATTGGATATATGACATATGCATGACTCGCTTGACTTCTTATTAGTGTTCGTAACATAGTAATAGCAAATGTTTTAATTTATTCTTCTTATTCAAGGTATAAGTAATAAATATCTTCCCATCAGTTTTTATTGTGTTTATTCCTAACCAATTATAATTGCTAAAGCAAAAAATAGGTTAAATTTTGTTATACCTTCTCAATTTTTGGTCTTCGACTTCAGTTTTCCATAAAAGTTAAAGTTGTCTGACAAACCCGTAAACGATACACATTTCCAACTGACCCACATGGTGACCAGCAACGAAATATTAACCCCTGACTTCAAGTGACAAGAATTATTGAATCTCTTGCATGATGTCATCTCTATGAGATACAACGTGTCATACTTCTGTGATAATGCACGTGTATTTGCCCCTTTTAAGAAGGCAATGTAAATTCCAAATAATATTGGTTGATTTGAAAGAGGACGGACGTTTTCTGAAAACAAACTTGAGATAACAAAAACTACATTTTGCTCAAAAGTTCTGGGCTTCACGCAACAAGTGACTTGATTGGAGATGTATTCTAAATAGATTATTACGATGGCCATCTAGAAGTATGTTCTTGTACAAAACATCGTGGATATCCGATACCTGTCAATACACTCACTGTACTGTTTATAAGATCAGTCGTTCAGATGACAAGACAAGATGACAAGAAATATTACGACCTCAAAATATACGACTCAGCTAACATATGCTTTGTTTGGTAGTATATTTAAGTTTTATTGTGTGTCTTTTCTAAGTAAGACGGATTGTAAAACATATTTTGAATATGTGTTCTAAGTAAAACTACTGGACAGAGTGGTGTTTTGAGGACGCTGTCTGAGATAGCGTGACGATGCTACGTTTTGTGGCTGATTCGATTTTTGTCGTAAGCAAGGTGAACATAACGTATCAACGTAGCTTGATTTTGGAGGAGCGACGCCCCAACATTTTTCTGAGGGGGAGACCACCCCTCTGCCCCTCCCCCTGTGCCGCCGCCACTGTTCCAGCATATGTTGACACTGACAGTTCTTATACTGGCTGTTCACGCTGTCAATCATTTCATGTTGGTCGATGTATAACTAGAATTTAATAATGGTATATGGTATAAATAATGTTTGATTTTGTTATCATCTTATTTAATTAATACTTTACATTTCAAGAGGGGCCTGCACAATTTGATGTCAAACATTAAACATTGATAATGATCACACGAGATTTCTAAATTATATCACTGATAATTTGTATCCCAATAATTTGTATAATTTGTATGTCCTGTCCTTGTAGTATGCAATTGACAAGAAAATGAAACAGGTTTTTGTTGACATTGTAACCTTTCATAGAAACTTTATATCTGGTTGGCAATCCTTAATTTCGGATTAATTTTGCCTTTTACAACACAATGTCAAAAAGTATGCTTTAGTGCAACTGTTAGCAATCAAAAGGTCAAAGGTCAAAATCACACCTTGTATTATTTACAACTACATACATGAGAAAATAGTTAGAACACACGTTCTCCGTGCGATTCACAAGACCTTGCTATATTTGGAGGTGAAAGGTCATGATCACAGTATGTGTTTGTGTGTGTTCTGTTTTTAGCTGCATTTCGCTAGAAGCTTCAAACGTGGAACACAAAACATGACTTGATTAACAATAGACACAGTCTTCAATATCCTGATTTTAATGTGAAATTCAAAACGTCAGTTGGTTTGATTCACATGCACTTCATATACATGCTCGATGGTGTTTCTGACTGTAACTTTGTGCTCCCCTTCAGTAATGCTGTTTATATACCCTATATATAAAATATGTTGTTGTTTTTTAAATTCAGTCCCTCACCCCTTGGCTATTATCGCCGATTTTTCGTCGCTGAAGTGATTTACATTGTTTTGATTAAGTTTTGATTCCCGACCGTCTCTAATAAATAATCCATCTAACCGCTAGACTGAATTAATGGTATTATCAAAAAATCATAAAAGATTTGGCGAAAATCAGTTGTTTTTGGCATCGACGTATTTTCGCTCAGAAACACAAGGACGCAGGTTGTTTGGATCGGACTGTTTCTTTTGTTTCGAGTTTGTTGTAAGTCTAGGAACATATTAACGTTATCTTTTGTGAATATAGAACATGTTCTGTTTCAGTACAGGATTTTGATATTCCAATCAGACAATTTCAACAATTTCTTACTGGAGCGTTCCATGTATAAATAGTCCTCTTCTCTCCAAAAATTGATAATGGCACTAGCCCAGAATGGACTTCTGTTCAGTGTGTCTTTGATTGCAATGTTTACACCACTGTAAGAAAATACGCACACTCGCGAATTTGACAACATTCACTCCAGCGTTTTAAGATGGAAGTGGGAATAGAGGCAAATAGATGGAAATACCAATTACATCACTCATGAAAATTTATGATTTGATTGCTGGCACGGATAGCTGTATTTTAATAGTGTTCATTTTGATGTAATGTGTCTACACCTGCGATTCTCAATTTCGATGTGTAAGATCATATCGCTGTTGTGGACGGCGATGGCTGACAGATTGCTGTAGTTCTGAGGATCTCTTGGCCCGGGCAACTGACTTTTAGCTTCTTTTTTTTACTATTATGACGTTTACTTGTATATACCAGTTAGATACTGTCTGTAAGTATACGGGCCAGGACATAATCAATATGAGACTCTGAAGGCCCGGAGAATCTTCTTATCTTATGCTTCCGTCCAATCCGATATTTATGCTGTTGTTGATTTCTGTACAAAAGTCCAAGAACACAAAACAAATAACTGACAATAATCCTCCCACACTCGCACTATGTTACTGGGAGAGCGCAATCGATTTTCATCAGAACGCCGATATTCCGGAACATTGTGACGTCGCAGCGCTTGACTATATCCGAGGGAGAGGCCGGCCACACCTCTGGGGGGTCACATATAGAGTGTTTTCCCTTTCGTTTGGTTCCATCAGAATCAACTCGGGCGATGGCAGTTCGACCTCTTACTTAGCAACTGCGTTCTCGATATATACGTCTTTTGAGCACACTAAGGTCTCGACAAGCCCGATCAGCGATGACGCGATCTTAGCAGATGCGGTGAAGCAGTCACTCAGAGATGTTGTGATGTGGTCATAGATAATACTCTTGAGGTGATGTGGCTGTAGCAATTGCTCAGTGCCGTTGTCGAAAAGCTATACAGTATTTTATCTTGTGAGCCTCCACCACATAAACTGGCTTTCCCTGCAGCTTTATTGTTATCCCTGCTAGATGAGAGAGGTAGTGGTAGGCGACCAGGAGTACTGAGAACTCGTAGGAAGTGATGCTCTTTAGAATATGATGAGCATCACAATGGTTACTGGTGTCCTAGTCTGCGTACATGTTTACGTACTTGTCAAGGTGGCAACTGTTGGCGATCCACTCCAGCGTTTCTAAGATAGATGCATATGCCTGGTATGAATGCTGATAGGCATTGTGACGCTCTGCCCAGCGGGTTTTGTAGAGGCCCAGGAGGGGCTTACTCTTGGCCTTATTTCCATTTTTGTGCTTGATCACCATTTGAAGTGCACCACTTTCCTTTGGACAGTGCAGGATTTACCGACAGAAATCCTGGGCCAAGGCACGTGACCTACTAATCACCAGTCTGCCACAGAAGAAAAGTGTGCTGATGAAGAACTTTAGAATGTCTCTGTTCTTTTCTTTTTGATGTTGTCTTCCGTTCTTGCATCAATCTAGGCCGTAATACTGGTGAGTGGTCGCTGTGTCGTTTGTTGTAACAAGGTAGCCTTTTTCATTGCTGTTCATGATACACGCAAAATTAGTCTCGAGCTTCTTGACTTTCTCCATTGTTTTGTTTCAAACTCTGAAGGGTTTGGTTACAAACTTCCCTTTTGATGTGCCGTCAGAAAAAAGGACACATGACATACAGAATTATTATTATTATTATTATTATTATTATTATTATTATTATTGTTATACTACAAAGTTGAAATTGCAATAAAAATGTGATTAAAAAATAATTTAAAATGACAATAAGATTGGATTATTAACATTGGTTAAAAGGGAATGTTTTCAAGTGTCTATTAAAAGTAGCTGTTGATGAGCATGAACGTGATAACAAAGAAAGATAGTTCCATATGATCAGGGCAATAATCGAAAATGCCCGCCGGCCCTATGTTTTCTTGACGCTGTAGCTGACTGCTCACCGATTACCTGAGAGTATGTGGCAGTTCATATGATGTCAAAATGGATTCACGATAGTCTGGACATTTACCTTGTATAATCTTAAAAGTTATAAGACATAGTTTATACTTAATAAAATACTTGACATGAAGCCAGTTTTGAGTAGTGATGTGATGTGGTCAGATTTTCTAGAGCGATTCAGCTGCGGCATTCTGTACGAATTCTGTCTCGTTGATGTTCTGGTATGCCAAATAGGAGAGAGTTGCAGTAGTCGAGTCGAGATGTTACAAATGCGTGTACATGTTTTTCTGTATGTTCACGAGATAAAAGAGTCTATACAGTGCGAAATGCAGCTTTACATAAATTTGACATTATTGGTCGTTTTCCCATCTTCGTGTCAATTATATTTGAAACTGCGATTGCAGCCGCCAAGATACTGTGCCAGAATTGTTTTTGTCTTTGGGTACTTTGCTGTGATGACAGAGGAAGCTTTAAACGGAAGTGTCGACTTCACCACTAACCTTGAATGCAGTGCTACTTACAGTGAGTCGATTTGACTGGTTTAGGTTGACATATGAACATTCAAAGTTGACGACTGAGCAACCAAAGCTGGTCCGGAGTTGAAGGATGGACGTCCAAAGTTGAGGGCTGAGTGTCCGAAGTTGAATAATACGTGTCTTAAGGCTGACAAAATTCTGCTCTACTTTCCTTGTTTTATTCAGAAAGAAGCTGTCCAGATTCTTCTTCTGCTCCCGCCGTCCCATAATTTGGATGCCAAAATATATTATCAATACATAATATAAGGCCGTACCCATGCACGGACTGACTTAAGTTTAACTCAGGTTGATCACAGATGAAAGAAGAGGATTTGCTGGCAGTAATACTTCTCGACACGTGTGACAACAACCGAGACACTTCTGGCTCATGCCATGTCAATTCGGATTCTGTACCCAGGGATTTTATAATATCTAGCAGGGATGCCTGGTCGCCAGATGATCTGGCCCATTTTTCCAAGACCACTGGGCGTCCTTCTCTAGTCCAAGTAAATTCAAAGGGTTCAGATTGTTAAAACGTTAAATGGAATGATAGACTTTTCATCATGCGCAAACAGTTATTTTAGGAGGATTCATTTCCTTGCCAATTTTGCGGGTCAATTTCCATGACGACCAAAGGTCACACTGTCCTGAATTACAAAGTGAGCAATTTGTCTAGGACTTCCAGCATCGCTGGTTATACAAATTAGTCTGGATTTTAAAAAATATTGTGCATTGAACAAAACCGACCTTCGAGTGCACGAGGGGGGGGGGTGTTAATATATGTATTTGCTTCCTCAATTGGAGTGGAGCACGTGGATTTTTTTCAACTCACTGAAGCGCTTGCTAAATAGTCTCGACAGCGAGGGATTTCAATTGCACATCAAATTCAGATATGGACTGGACAAATAATCACGAACTGCACACAGTCATTTGCCTTGTTTCTCAATATCAATATAATAAACTGGACACGTAATCAGTCAAGGTCACGACTTGATACCTTTTATATTTCAAAATCAATGGTCACAAGAATAAAACATTCTTCTATAGAACCACACTTACACTTCTCTGATCATTCTCCTGTTGTTTTCAATTTATCACTCTCACAAATAAGTAATCATAATCCCGTCTGGTTCTTTAACTGCAACCTTCTACATTATGAGGAATATTGTGCAATACTTTCGGAACACTGGTTTCAATGGTGAAAACAAAAATCGCGTTTCTCTGCAAACATAATGGGACGTCGGAACAATTAACATATTAAACAAAGCTGACAAAACAATATTCTGATGTGTAATAACTACAGATATATCAAACATGATCTTCATAACGAAATAAGTGAACTTGAACAGAATATTCATAATGGTCCATGAAAGAAAAACTGAATGAAAAACAAGCGCTGTTATACAAATTTATTAAAACCGAAACGAAAGCTGGAGCGATTGGAGCCAGGCATTGTGTACTTAGTGAGAGCGATGCTCCCTCTTTTTTTCTTCTTTAGCGTTGAACATTTTAAGGAGAGCAAACATGTGATGTCACAACTGGAAAAACCGAATGGATCCCTAACGAACTCAACCACTGTTATCAGGAGTTTGGTCAGAAATTTTTACTCAAATTTGTTTTCTTCAGATCCGGTTTCAGTTTACTCTCGAAACATCATTCTTGAAGGTCTCCCACAACTGCCTGATAACGTTAATTGTGACGCTCCACTAACTTATGGTGAACTGTCTATGGGTGTCAAATAGATGTCAAGTGGTAAGTCACCCGGTATTGACAGACTGCAAAGCGAATTTTACAAACGTTTCTGGCCTGTTTTGAGAACTAATCTCTTTGATATTTTTACTGCGTCGATCGAGGATGATCTTCTTCCCCTGACATGTAGAAGGGCCATTATTACACTCCTTCATAAGAAAGACAACTATAATCTACTTAAAAACTGGCGGCCAGTCAGTTAGGAAGGAGTGTGCTATGCTCATCAAGGCCCATCATTTAGACTTAAATCTACACTTCCTGAAATCATTCATATAGATCAGTCGTATAATGTACCAGGGAGAAAAATATTTGATAATATTAACGAAATGCTTGAAAATAGACCACTTGCAGTTGTTACCCTGGACCAGCAACAAATCTTCGATAAAGTACACCATGATTATTATTTTGTTCAAAGCACCCGAGGCATTTGGTTTTGGAAATAATTGTATTAAATACATTAATCTTATTTGTTTAAGCACTCAAGATGAGAATTAATGACTCTCTAACATCTCCAACAATGTTTCGCGTGGTATTAGGCAAGGTTGCTCTTTGTAAGGGCAATTATACACAGAAATGCTTGACAAGACCCAGGCTAAACTTGAACGGTGGAAGAAATTTGCACCGAATATGTTCTATAAATGGCGTACGTTAGTAAGAAACCAGATTGTTGTATTTAAACTGTTGCACAGGTTTGTGTCTCTTTATCCTCATCACAAACTGATCAATGATATTTAGGATTTGTCACAAAATTTATTTTGGAATCGTCGCCATTGGATCGAAAGAAGACTGTGTACCTCCCACTTAGTGAAGGCAACCATGGCTTAGTACACATACCGATTCTTACTTTCTGTAATGATCTTAATGACCTAGTACATATCCTCCTCGAATATCCGAGGCTAACTTCTCTATTTGACACAGTTACCCGTATATGTCATGCATTGATTGGGGTACATACAATACCGAACTCCTGGTTTACTTAGGCCGATGGAAAGAAAGGCGACGTGTGTCTTCAGCTCATCAGTTACAATGTTAGGTCCTAATAAGTGCAAAGATAGATATTCACTTAACTCGCTATAATATGATGAAGGGCCAGGACGGCTATGCCACAGATATTCTGCAGTGCTTCAAAGCCAGGCTCAGGAGTTCAAGTACCATCTACTGAATCACTCCATCTGAACATTTGAGGAACAATTCTGCATTTAACAGCGCCATTGTCACAGAAAGTGAAGAAGTCGCTTTTCAGATGATGTTACTTAGGAACTGAAATAAACATTATTTATATTACTCATACATATTTTGTTAATAATACATTATAATAATTGTTGAATTCTTAATATATATATAACTCGATATTCGTTAATATTACATATGTTTATAACTAGAACATATGTGAAACATGATATCTAATTTAATCTAAGTGAATGCCTCATATTATGCTTTTCAAATCAATGTAAATCGAATTTTGATTATATAAACGCATGTTTGTTGACAATTTAACTACTTGTTTTCTTGTTTGACCACAGACACTAAATACAACAAAAACTAGACACAAACTGTTTGCATGCACATTTTTACAATACAGTGATCTGTTGTTGGTTAACACGTAGATGTAGTTACCGAACCGATTCTTCATGTCTGAGTATATTCAGTGAAAAGCGCATGCGCAGTAACAATTGTACTAACCCTTACGGAATCGAGGTTATACTGTGATTTATATTAGTATTGTTGTGGCGTTATTTGATACTGTCTATGTGCTGGGGATGTGAGACCCCTAATCGCATCATTTGGCATGAATTCAATCCTAGCCAAAAATAGATTGTTTGTTTGAGAAGCAGTAGTAAATTCCTATTAACCCTATGTCCATAACAAGGCTAAACTACTACCCAATAACGAGAAGTCACAACCACATCACCTGTGTGTGGGTGTTTGTCTGCAATATGCCTTGACCTACGGACAACAAATATTGTTTGAAGAAATCTGCCATAGTAAATTTTAATAGCATTTTAAGGTGAGATGCAGTTTACCTGACAGGTATTTTAATTAGTTAATTAGGAAACCAAGATGACCTCCCTTGTCCACAAACATATATATTTTCAGAAAGCTTATTGTATGAATTTTAAGATTTTGTTAGTATTTTTTATGGACACTGTAGTTTGAAATATGCACAAAAATGTACTTTTTTGGTCAAAAGTGATTTGAAAAAAATAGCTTCCAAACCACGCTTTTGTTTCCTGTCACAATTTGTTTACGGGTACATCTGTTTACTATGAAGAAAGTGCCTTCTTAAAAACTGTCTACTAGTTGTCAATTTTGCAGGGCAGCAGCTCAAATTTCACTACTTCAAGTTTATGCATAAATAAACACCCAGGTTAGTTGTCTGTACGATTATTGTAACACTGTTCAACCAGAAACAAGCCCCGACGGCATTTTGAAGATAAACACATTGTCAATCATTTGTGAAAATTTCAAAACAAAAGGTCAACAGTTCTGGGATATGCACTAAAAAGAAGCTGAGATAATTGCTAATTTGCATAACCATTCACTCAGTAAGAAGTTTGCTAATGCTCATAATTAAAATGGCTGTAACAGTTCCAAATTTAAATGTATTATCGTTTTGTGAAATGTTAACTATAGTGCATAATATGGAGATCCCGTCATTTCTTTTTTTCACCATGTTTCTTTTTTATTATTTATGTGCAGCCTTGCTAAATCTTGCTAAGCATTCAAAAGAGAGAATATTTGCATCTGTTATTTATATTTTAAAATCGTCTTTTGAGTATGTTCCACTATTCACAATTCTACAAAATTTTAACAGTATGTAGCCAATACTGTTTGGATAATAAAAAGCAAAAAAAAATCACTCCCAAGTGCCCAGGAACCTGCATCTCTACCTTAATTGCGATTCAACGTGTATAAACTGCCAAGAATAAAGCAACCTTCAGATGCTGTTGTGTGATTGCCAGACTAAACGAACACGTGGCCAAGTAGTCCTGAATTTGACTAAACGACTATCTAGACCGGTAGGTAATGGAAAATTAATTTAAACTAAACGGCGACTTTTCCAAAATTCTGTCGGCACGAATGCCATAAAATTATCAAAGAGTGAAAAAAATACTAGCAGCGATAATTGAGCTGTTAAAAGATTAATTTAGTGGATGAATTGACGCTGGTTCACAGGTTGTGTTAGTTATGTTTATTCATTGAGTTCGTGTGTTTTCCTGTTTTATTTTGAGATTATTTTGTTCGAATATTTGTGATGGTACGCTACACTCACGATTCATATATTAGAAATATGCTAGTCATGTTTATTCATTGCATTTACGGTGTTTTCTTGTTGTATTTTGTGATTATTTGTTCGTATATCGTGACGTTACACTAATTCACACACACGATTCACATGGTGGAAATATGTTAGATAGTTTGTATTTATTGTGCTTTATAATTCCCATGTCACTTTATGGGATTATCTTGGCCATGTAATTATCATTTACGAATATCACATGACGTGGATGTTAATAACAGATGACATGTTTTCATCACATACAAGAGTACATCCAGGTTGAATCCCTTACTGGCAAAAAAAATAAATTAAAAAAAAACTGATAGAAAAGTCGTCAATACCAGGCCTTGCTTCCCACGTTTCGTGAATAAATAACCTTGTCAAGTACAATATTAATATATATATATATATATATATACGTTGTCGCCGAGGACAGCAACTTAAACGTGTCACGTGGTTTATTTTACATGTTGGATAAAGCTGAAAATCCTACACATACTGAGATTACAAGTTCAAATATGATAAAAGTAAATATTTTTTTAAAAAATACTACGAATAATATTACATGCAGTAGATAAAACATTCCGTCCTCAAAATTGCTTCCAAATCAAGCCCCGTCGTTTTATCGCAATGAGTGCTTCGAATACAATAACATTTTCTGTGACGTTAAAACTTATGTTTATGTCGTAGTATTACAATGAGAATGTTTCTACAGACCACCAATCAACAGTAAATACGGAATACTAAAACGAAGGGTTGAAATGCGACGGAAAGACGTGACATTTTAATATGGATACATTAGTATATTTTATTTCAACTCATGAATAGCTTTTGTTGTTCTTGTTGTTTTTTGTTTCGCTCTGTCAACTTTGTCTTCAAACACTCCCTACCTGCAAATCGTGCACGAATCGTGTATCATAGTTATTTACATAATTATGTTGACATATTTTGTCAAGTCAGCAATTTACAGTATCGAGACCATATGCTAAGACTTAACATCACACAGTTGATTGCTATAAATTGGTGTTCACTGCGCGGTACCGTCACTTCGTCGTATTCGAAGACTAAACCTACTACCCGGGTACGTGAGTATGCTGTACATTATGTTATTTAACACATAGATATTCAATCAGTTATTATATACTTCACATGAGAAATGTATTCCCGTCGATGTCCTCATATGTCTTCAGATTCTTAACGCCGTGAATTTGAACTAATTATAACTGTATTGAAATATAACATGCATATCAACTATGAGCCACTGATCGTTATCCACAAATTCGAAATCTGACGATTTCTCGTTTGTTACTTCTTTATTATGTGACTGCTGGTAAAATGTGTGTTGATTTCAATTGTGTGTAATTGGAATTCATTGATGTAGTTTTACAACTTCGTATTTCTATAAAACCACGGCGCTGCGTTTACATCGGTGATAAATGATTATTTGTGCACGTTACATAATGCCAGCCACCTTTATTACAAGATGACTGCCTCTTTTAGATACTGAAGAGACGAACACATTAACCCATCTCGTATCTTGCCACAGAAAGACTACTACTTGAAACCACGGTCCATTTAGAACACTATGACGCAAATTGTTGAAAATTTTGATCTTTTATTTTATTTTTGTTTTCATCAGCCATCCATGGAGTCTTTACAACTGTTACGTTTGCTGTGCATCTTCACTATTATAGGTAGGTTGGCATCATGTGA